AGGGTGTAAGAGAAAAAAAAAACAAAAAAACCCCCCCGGGGGGGGGGGGGGGATGGCCACACTGCAATCCCTTCTCCTCCAGTCTCCTCTCAGGATTTTGGGAATACATGTACATGCACCTGGCGTTGAGTTCATGCCACCACGTCTGGGACTCCACTCATGGTCGACTATGTGGGAGTTTAGCACCTTGACCATTACACCATCTGCTGGTCTCACCCAAAGGCACTTAAAACAATACTCAGAGAAACAGTATCTAGTTATCTACTTCTGGGGAAAAAAGACAACTGGCCATCAGCAATAGAAAGGAAATACGTTCGGGTACTAAAATACTGAACAATAAGAATAGGCAAATTATTGCCATGCCTAACATCATAGACAAATCTTACAAACATGATGCTGAGAGAAGAAAACAAACAGAAAGGCGCAAAATTCAAAAATATACAAAATTAATCTAAAGCATTGAAATCAGCATAGTGCTTACCTTTGGGGGGGATTATAAATATATAACTCCACCCTACTCTAGTCCAAACTCAATGTGTATCCATTTACATAGGCACTTTCCTTGGCCTGAATACTCCATAACTGCTATGGGTTTAATAGGTAGCACAGGATTTAAACAAAATATTTGGAGCTACCACAGATAAGCTGTGCTGCTCGGACTGCAATTCAGAGGAAGATAGCAAAAATATTACCAAATTAGAGAACTATGAAAAGAAATAAAGAGGGCCAGCAGGTGGGTGGCAGGGTAGTTAAGGCACTAGACTCCCACATGACCAACTCCAGTTCAAGTCCTGGGCCTGGTGGCTTGCTTTTTCTCACTTTTCCTCTCTCTCTCTGGTAAGCATACATGCCTAATGATAATGATAATAAAATTAAATCTTTTTTTTTTTTCATAAAAAATAAAGAGGCGCCATAGGTGGTGTGGTGGTTAAGGCACTGGATCCCACATGGCCAACTCTGAGATCAGAGTCTTGGATCAAGGCACCTGAATCTGCTCTAAACTCCATCTTCCAGACCCCCAAAAAAACTCAGACAGAACCCATTTAAATATGAGCTGTGTCCTGCAGTGGTGAGGGACAAAGGCGACTGAATCTCTGCTCTAAACCCCATCTTCCAGACTCCAAAAGAGCTCAGACAGGTAGGGCAACTTCTGTCTTCTCTCTGTCTCTCTTTTTAACTTTATTTTATTTTATTTTTTAAAGTTTGACCAAAGAGGGATGGGGGTGGGTGGGTGGTGGTGAGCAAGCCACCAAGTCGGGGACTCAAACTGTGGTCAGCCATGTGGGAGCCCAGAACCCTTAACCACCAAGCCACGTGCTGGCCCCTGTTTTTCTCACCCTTGACCTATCCTTTCTCTTGTTAATTTCAGAATCCATTTAAATCTGAGGTATGTCCAGCCATGTTCAGGCAGTATGATTTCACCTCTTTTGGCTTTCATTTTTTATTTAAAAAAATTCTTTTTTT